TGATTGAGTGACCTTAATTTAACTAAGCTAATTATTTGAGTAAATTAATCAATTTAAGTGAAGGTTGGTGAGACTTGGACATTGATATTCATACATATTCTCTACATTTGGACTATCCTCTTCATGTCTTTGCTTGGAGACTTGAAGCTAGAGATCTTTGTTAGCTTGAGGGAGCTTGGATTGGAGTTTACCTTGGGCTCTATCTTTACTATCTTAAAGGTAATCCCTACTTCCATCCTTAAGTTTATTTCATCTTCTATCACTTTTTCTTTATGGTTGGAGCTTTCTTGAGATTTTGAGATCGTTGTTGGATTGTTCTTTTGATAGTTTAGTTTGATGCTTTCTTCTTCTTGCCCTTTCTATGGCTAGTGGAGGCCTATATAGTGACTTTGGTAAAGTCTGACTTGCTTTTTATTGATTTATTTCCGTTTAGAAGCCTATGGTTTGAATATCATTTCCCATTGCTATTTTATTAATTTGGGTGGCTTATACCCCTTTTCATGAGCTAGAAATTACGAATCTCTTTATCCTTGTTAGAGCCTTCTGTAGTTTTCTCCATTATGGATTTTTGTTGATATAGAAGCCCAAACAGGGTTTCCTCCGCGAGCATAGATTAAATCTCCCTTCTCTTGGGTAGTTTATATCCCTTTTCATGTGTTAGATGGTGAGAATCTCTCTATCCTTGTTGGACCTTCTTTATTTTATTACTTTAAGGATTATCGATGATGTAGAAACCCAGGGACAATTTCCTCCATGAGGATAAGTTGGATCTACATTCTCAAATCATTTTATCATGGATTCGACTAGTCTATATTTGTTTTCATGCGTATGAGGGTTAGGACCTTTTTATCCTTGCTGAAGCATTCATTTTAAGTTATGGAAGTTATTATGCTTGTCGTGTGCATTGGAATAGGTTTCTCTTATCCCTAACCTTACTCTCTTCCTACTTTTAGAATTTATCTTTATTGCTTTAATTACCTTATTTTGTCATCACGACATCCACATGTTTAGATCATGCATCCGAGCTCAGACCATTGTACCCTGATAGTTATGTAGTGTGTATCTCTTGATCATTCATATGTCATCTTGATAGTGTCCGAGCTCGTAGGATTCATCTCATGATTGTAATTGCATTTTATAGATTAGTACATCTATGATCATGCATATTTCTAATTAGTTGTTTTTGTTGCACTTAGCTAGAGTATGCGGTAAGTCTCGTTTTCATTTCTTTCGCATATCATTTAGCTTCACATCTAAGATCATGCATTGATTTTTGACCCTTTACGTTCGTGGCATGGTGCAAAGGAGTACTCGGTGAGTTTTTCTCTTTTCTTTTGCATCCCATGTGTGTTTGCTTCTTATTATGTCTAGCATGATACCATAAGGCTATGTGCTTATGTGTTATACTTCCTTGATTTCCCATTGTATGGAGGTCACATTGCCTAAGTTGGGATGGTTCCAATCTCTTTGTGCATTAGTCATATCGCTTTTTCCCTGAGATTTTTATTTTCAAATTTTTTTCAAATGGCGAGAAATTAGAGTGTTCCAAAGTACGTGATCTGATCTATATACTTTTCTACTCCATAGAGTAAAGGTAGCACTAATAATTGGGTTATATGATCATAATGTGTTAATAATTCTCATATCAATGACTAGTAGAAGCTGATCTTTGATTGGATGAGTGGGGTTGCTCAATTCATGTCTTTGTCCCCCTCATACCTAAACTCTCAAGCCAAGACACTTTGGTTGGGATGGACAGTGGCCTTTGGCACGAGTCAGGATTTCCTAATTTTTCCAAAAGATTTGGTGGCGACTTCAAGTCTGGTGATATAGTCTGAGTTTTGTATTTCTTGTGATTAGTGGATTTTCTATGACTTTTTTAGATCCAGACTATCATTTCTCATTTCACATTACACCCATGAAGCGAGACAAGGTTCTGAATTGTTAGTTGCCCAGTGAGATACTCTTCCGAGGAGATCCCACAGCAGCGTTGCTGAGCTGAAGTGGGAAGCCCTCACTTTATACTTTTCCACTATTTGTTTCTCTTTCACATTTGGTTTCTCAGATCTATATATATATATATATATATATATTTGTGTGTGTGTGTATGTGTGTATTTAAATAAATATATGATTTTAAGTTTTCTTATTTTGCCTCAATCTAAAAAAAAGTTTCTCATTTTGAAATTTAAATTTCATTTTTTATAATTTCTTTCTCCCTATTTTTTCTACCAGGTGTTCGAAATCAACCGAACTGACTGCCAAACTTAGTCTTTTGATTCGGTCAATTTCAAGCAGTGGAGTGGTCAATAATGGATGACTACTTCTGTAAACCGATAGTGTCGTGGTATACCTGAGCCAAACTGACCCGGAACAACCCTAGTTGCAACTTTCATAATAAGTTCATTTGCCTTCTATTGTGGATATGGATATTTCGATAAGGATTGGACACCTCCAAATGATCCCACGATGATGAAACAAAGACAGATCTCAATTACCTTTGAGCAAAGCCTTCCAAATGAAGGGAATTCCCAACCTTGAACCCTTTTTAGCCAAAATGTTTCTAAGCCCTTAAATTGTTTTCAAAAAAGAGTTTTCATAGATACAAGATGCCATTTCGAGCGTTCGACTTAGTTCAACTCCACATTTTTGTAATCAAAAAACCTATTTCTTTCCAAAGTGAGCGAAGACAAAGTCGAATTGAGCAAAAAGAGGAAAAATATTCAAGAAAACAGTTAGTCATATGTCTGTTCGTCCACCCTTAGTCTTTCACAAACTCGCAGATGAGCCCGTGGGTCATACTTGCGGGTAAAGATCATACACACAGTTTCTTACACTAGTGATGATTATACTCACAAGTGATCATGTGGTGAGATCATATCTACAACCGCTATTACTTTTTTCTATGGTCACAGTGATACCTAGCCCGCAAGAAGAGTTGGGTGGTTGTGGGTATTAGGCGTCTCAAATAGTGTCATGAGAGACGTGGTTTCCCCAGCATTTTGGAAAATGTGATACAAATATATTCCGAATATCCATACGAAATGGCATATTCCAAAGGCTCCCTTGGCTTATATAAACACTTGTTTGAGACTTAGAAGAATATAAAAAGCCTATTTTCTTTTCTTTTCTTTTTTTTTCTTTCTCTCCATCCAAACATTCCTTTTCTTTGATATTGTTGGATTATAGTGATTGTTGGGCTGGAATAATTAGGGGATTCTGGCCAAATCCCATAGGTTGTTGATGTAGCGTCATTGTCTCATTTTCTTTTTCACTTTCTTGTATTTTCGTAGCATCCAAACATGGTTTATTCATTTGATATGTTCGAATCTACCTCCTTAATCCATTAGTTCATGGATTTGGGTATTCCATGCTCATTTCCATTCTTAGAGGGTAGATAATTATCATTGTGTATTTTCTTTTATTGTTTAATGCTTTATTTCATGTTCATAATCTTGCTTCGCCTTTGATGATTGATTGAATCTACTCTTTTTCATGGATTGAGGCCTTTGATTCTAGCTCACGCCTCTTTCCATGTCTTTAGAGTAGATTTATTGTGTCATCTACCCCCATCCCCCCTCTTTTCTCAATTTGTGTAGATTAGCTTTTCTATTGTGTTTGTAAAGTAATTTTTGTGAAGATGGTGGAATCCTTACACAAATCTATTGTATAAGAAGCCCAAGCTTTGGTCTTGTTCTTTGAATAAGATTCATACTCATTCTCATGTGTTGTAGGTAGATTTCATTTATCTTCTATCTTTTTACTTATTTTCTTGCATTTTCTAGTATTGTAGTTTTGCTTTTGATAATGGTTAGAGTCTACTTTCCTCGAAAATAGTATTTCATGGATTCAAGTCTTCATCTTGTTATTTGAGTGAGGTCTTGACTTATTTCCATAAGTAAGGGGTAGATTTTACTTATCTTGCTTGTTGTGCATCTAAGCTTGATTTATTGTATTTTTATAGATATTGTTGCTATTTTGTTATACTGATCATACGTAGCTAAGTAACCTACCATGGTTGAGATATTTCATATGACACTTTAGTGGCAATTAGGCCTATAAGATTAATTTTTATGAGTTTTGTTGTATTTAGTGGATTTGTGCATCTCAGACAATGCATTTTAGTTTTCTAACCCTTTTTGCTTTAGCTTGGTACAAAGGAGTACTAGGTGAGCTTCATTTTGTTTCTTTGCATCTTGCTTGTGATTGCCTTTCTTACTATATCTAGCATGCTACCATGAGGCTATTTGCTTATCTGAAATATCTCTATCGTTGCTCATTGGTTGGAGGGCATTTCACCTAAGTTGGAGGTGCTTCTATCTCTCTTACAAGGGTTTTCCATAATTTTTTTTGCAAAACTCTCAATAAAATATTTTTCATCATAAAGAGGATAAAATATTTTCAAAATAAGTGATTTACTCTATACTTGTTTTCTTCACATAGTAAAATTGGCATTAATAATTGAATTATGAAAATATTTTTACAATGATTCTCATATCAATAATTATTAGAAGTCGATATTTTGATCAGGTGAGCTTAGGGTGCTCAATTCATGACATTCCCCTTTCACACCTAAACTCTCATATTAGACTTTCTGGTTACAACAGGCAGTGACCTATATTAATAGGAGTCAAGATTTTCTAGTTTCTTTAAAAAGATTAGGTAACGACTCTAGGTCTGATGATACGATCTTGGTTTGGCATTTCGATAACTTAGTGGACTTTTTTGCAAATTTTTCAGCCTTAAAGACTCTCACTCATTTCATACTGCACATATTTGTGAAAAAGACAGGAGGGCTAGTTGTTGGGCTCGCCACATTTCCAACAACCACACACTTCACTACAACTCATTTCAGTTGCTAATATTTTGCTTAGATCAATTTTCTTTGTTTGGTGAAGAATCCTTTCAGAAATAAAAAATGATATGGCAAAGAAAAAGAAGGTTCTAAATTGCCAAAGACTACTTAAGTACTACACAAAAAAATTTCAGCAAAGATAATTCTAATTTACTCTTTTTTTCTTTTTATTTCTTGAAAACATTCAATTCAAACGAAGTAACCCTTTAACGTAACAATGGAAATGATGAGATTGACACTGCTACATTTATAGAGTAATACATTTGTTGTGATCAAATCTTCCTAGTAGAAACAATGAAGTTGCCTTCATACACTCTACATCAGCACCAAACAAACACAAAACGAATAAAAAAGAAAACAAACATGAACAACATAATGTTCAATGTCATTCAGTGTGGTCTCTTTATTTTAGCTCATTGTTGTCCTCACTTGAAACCTTGGTACTTAGTTGCCTATAGTTGTACCTTTTAGCAATGAACAAATAGACAAAGAAATTAACCAAACTCAATATAGAAAGCAACCAGTAGAATAGATTCAAATGGTTTTTGTTAAGATTGTTTCCTGCCAACCAACCTCCACTGTTGGTTATTCGCTTTGTCGCACTGTTCACTATGTTTACGATAATGGTGCTTAGAAAATACCCAACAGCCATCGAGCTCCACAAAAAGCAAGTAGACATGGATTTTAGGCCTTTTGGTGCTTGGGAGTAGAAAAATTCAAGAAGTCCAATGTATGTAAACATGTCAGCAACACCAAATATGAAGTACTGAAATGATAGCCAGAAAACACTAATGGGCAATGGTTGGACCACTGGGAGCGCATCAAGCATATTGTGGGATTTCGCAACCTCTTTTCGTTTCACTTCCATTAGTCCAGCTATTGCCATAGACAAGGAAGAGAGCACAAGGCCAACCCCAACACGTTGTAGGTGAGTTATGCCGGTGGGGTGGCCAGTGATCCTACGGGCAAATGGTACAACTATTTGGTCATAGACCGGGACTAGAATGATAAGGAAGACGATGGGAATGATGGGGAGGGAAGCCGGTGGGATCTTGAAAGATTTAGTGATACTTGTGTCCATGGTTCGACCTTGTTGGATAGAGAAGGTTTGCAGTTGAGCCAGGCAAAGGGTCATAAAAAATGTGGAACAGAAGATTGGAACCATGCCTAGGATGATTTTCGCATTTTCTACTTGAGTGACCCTGCAAAGTTTCCACGGACTCAAAGTTTCTGGTCTTTGATATTGTATTAGAGTTGTTTCGACTGCTGCTTTGTCTAGAAACCTAGAAACAATTTTACAAAAAAATTATTAGGTATGATTATTGGTATATTATATTTTACTCAAATTTGAGGACAAGAAGTACGGAATACAACCTCATAGCATTTGTGTGAGGTAGAAACTCTGTTTCTATTGCAGCTTCCTTATCCCTGTAGATTTCATATAGCTCTTCTGAATCCTCAGGAAGGCGAAACTTCCTATTGCGGAAAGCAGCAACATACACCTAAAAATATAACATTGGTACAAATGAATATCACTTTATGTATTGCAAATGATAATAGATATGCTGGTAGCCTCAAGTGTATATATATATATAACCAGACCTGTATGATCTCAACGATGACACTACTTCCTCGAATAACATGTATCCTATAGCGTGGCAATCCAGAGACAAAGATTGTAATCCCCAGCAACATGGCAATGGATGATATTCCAAATCCCCAGTCCCAACCTTTGTTATCTTGCATCCACACAACAAAGGTTAGACTAACAACACCACCAATGCACACAGCTAGTAAGAGCCAGTTGAAGAAGCTGGACATCTCATTGGCCTCTTTAGGGTCTTTTTCTTCGAACTGATCAGCACCATGTGTAGGCAATGACGCTTTTATTCCTGCGCTACCAGCAGCAACTAGGTAGATTGCTACAAAGAGGAGCACAGCATTGCCTCCACCGACTTGGGTGCATTGAGCAGTTGGATCGAAAACGTTACAAGGAGGTGGTATGAGTTTGGGGAAGTGAGCTTGCACTGCTAGTAATACAAGTCCCTATATATACAAATCAACAAGGAAGTCATCAGGTATGAATGACGAATAAGTACACAACAAGACAACAAATTTAAAAAGAAAAATGGAATACAAGTACATGATAAGTTTGCTAAAAACATTATATCTTTATAATTTTATTATTTCAGAAGCTCAATTTTAGGAATTAGATATCAATTTAAGACTTGAGAAACCATTTACTATACTCTTTTATTTAGTTTATTTTTAGAAGGTTTAAAAAAAAAAAAAATTTCAGTGTCAAGTTTTTAAATCCTTTATAGTGACGATGTGTTTTTCTTTTTCTTATAGTGTTATGTGAAAAATTATTATACACAATTTTACTTGCTTATTTAATTATTTTAATATGGCTTTAATATCATTATATATATATATATATATATATATATATATTACATTTTATAAACTATACATACATATATATGTACGTGCAGAATACATCAATTCGATAAATTCTAAAATAGAAATTGTACTATTTTATGATTACTATCTCCTCCTCTTTTGAAATGTAAGCTAAGTATTGAAAATTATTCTTTTATTTATCCTACTCATGCAATGTTATATTACAATTTTAATTTCATAATAATTCAAATACATGATTGAGATTATTTAAAAATTATATGATACTTTTGTGAAAAAAAAAATTAAATATAGATTAGAAAAATTAAAATACATGTCTAGAAGTATTGATAAAATTCATCTTTAGAATTATATATACTGCATAGGTAGCAATAAGAGTAAGACAATATTGCAAAATCATTGATCACCATTATTGATTAACTATAAGTAACATAGATTCCATAGGTAGCAATAAGAGTAAACGACAACATGGCAAAAACATTGATCATCGTTATTGATAAAGTATAAATAACATAGTTTACATAATGATGAAGCATATATGTACCAGAAACTCGAAGCATGCAGAGATGAGAACAGCATTGAATCTGCCGATGTAAGTATCTGCGAGGAAGGCCACAAGAATGGAGAGCACATACGCAGTACCCATGTAGTTGGTTAGCTGGTTAGCTGCTTGGGGTATGTTAAAGTGCATCACACCACTGAAGTAGGTCACTAAGTTCACTGCCATTGCAAGTGTCGCCATGTTCTCAAATCCAAAGGCAGCTGCAACACATACCAGAACAGACACACTATTGGCATATTTTAATAAAGGGAAAAGTTAGGGATTATAAAAAAAAATTCATGAAAATGATCATGAATTTTTTTTTTTTTTTTTTGATTAGTAACATGAAAAATTTAAAGTACAGGAAGATGAGATGCATCGAGGATCATCAAAAATTTATGGTCCTTAGATTACCTTGATTAGTATATGGTGCTTTATTCTAAGTGTAATTCAAGGATCACAAAATTTTCATAATTATTTTCATGAAAAATTTTTCATGATACCTAGCATTGCTGTTTAATAAAAATATAAATGTTTTTTTCAATAATTTCATATGACATTTAAATAGAAAATGTCTCGTAACTCAAATTTTGTGGCTCAAAAGTGACTCAAATGGTCAAAACGACGTCGTTTTGGCCATTTGAATGTTATTATGTACTTAAAACGACGTCGTTTTGGCCATTTGAATGTTGTTCTGTACTCAAAACGACGTCGTTTTGGCCATTTGAGCCACTTTTGAGCTACAAAATTTAAGCTACGTAGCATTGTCGCATTTAAATACACATTAGTTACCAAAAATCAATTATCTGTTACAAGGGTTATATCAAAATCATTAACATATTAATTCATGGGTAATGGAGCTTTATTACTAGTTTGACTCCACCATTTTCACATTGAAAGGAATCTTAATGGTCTAAGCCCTATTTATAGTTGTGGAATTGTAGTTTCATTTAGTTTGATACACACACCAAAAAAAAAAAAAAACTAATGGAGTAATATTTCAGATAATCACATGCTTTAAAAAGTTCTTCATATATATAAATAGGATAAATTACATCTATAGTCCCTAAAGTTTAACATTTTTTTTCATTTCAGTCCCTAAAGTTTCGATTTTGTCAATTAAGTTCTTAAAACATTAGATTCGAATCAATTTAGTCCTGAGGACAATATAAAAATAAAATATAAACCCAAAGATTATATAAAACTATTATAAGGCCCGAATTTTAATTTATTGTTAAATTAAGTATGCTATTGATAACTTAATTATCTTCTGTGTGCGTATAGTTTGGAATTAATTCTACTATTATTTAATTCTTCTAATACATGATTATACATTTTATCTAATTTTTTGGCTATTTCTAATATTATTTTATTTTGGTTTCATTATCTTTTTCTTATTTTGCCATTACTTCTTGTTCTTTTAAACTATAATTACTTAGATCTATTTTTTTATTTTTTCTGATGAAATTAATTCAAAATGTTCCTTTGGAGAATTTCCCAGGATAAGGATAATTATCTTTAGTCATTTATTACTTATTTTCTACAATAGCTTTGCTTACATTTATTTAATAGTAGATGTCAAATTTCATGTATAATTTATAATTGATTTTTTTTAAAGATTTTCGTTAAGTTTTTTACTAACCTGATTATAGTATTATTTTGTTCGATTACTATTTGTAGTGCAATAGTATTATTTAAATTATCTGCTTCGACTTCTTCAATATATCTAATGCTCATTTATTAATATTACTAAATTTGAGAAACTAAGCTCTGACATAAATTCTAAACTACACACACACACAGGATAATTAACCTAGTTGGGATCAAGGAGTTTTACTATGATATTTTGCGTACACTTCCCTCTTCTTTGTTGATAGAATTCCATATGTACTTATGTTGATTTCATCAATAATTTTTTTTTTACTGATAAAAAAAAGTTAATGATATAATAATTAAATTAACAATAAATTAAAATTCGGGCTATATAACAATTTTATATAACTTTTGGGATTTTATTTTATTTTTATATTGTCCTCAAGACTAATTTGATTCAAACTTAATAGTTTAGGACTTAATTGACAAAATCAAAACCTAGAAACTTAAACCAAAATATTTTAAACTTTAGGTTCTGTGCCGTTTATCCTAAAAGTAATAAAATTACCACTCCAATAATTTAAACTTTTAAATGGAATAGTAATCAACAATTCAATACTCACACTCACACTTTGGGATGACTCTCAGTGGTGTGCATTTTTTGTGTTCTATTTCAGTGATCATTTCTGCTTTATACTAACATCAGTCAGTTTTGCGGTTACCTAATACAAGTGTAGCGGATAGCATTCCTCCATGTTTGTCCTTCCTAGCAGTTCTACCCTTACAATCAGTCTTGCCCTCAATAAGCTCAGCTTTCTCCTGTAAGAGATTTTGAGAAATAAATGGTTAAACCAGAAAAATAAGGTGAACACCAAACAGGGTAATACACAAAATGAATGGTTAATCATATTTTTGGTTTTCAAAATATGAGTCTTGTGTCATTTTGATTCTTAATGTTTACATTGTGTCAATCTGATCTTCCACTGCATAAAAAGTATTTTAATTTCGTCTCTCAATTTAACTCTGTTTATAGAAGCAATTGCGGACAATTGAAATATTGGAGATCAAATTGAAACATTTTTATACATTAGGAGGCCAAATTGGCATAATTTAAATTAAAAATAAAATAACACAAGACTAACATTTTTTTGGGGATCAAAATTACATAATTAACTCTAAAATAAAAAAGAAAATCAAAGTACCATAGCTACTAGGGTTTTTGAACTAGCTTCAAGAGAGTATTGGAGAGTTAAGAATGGTATTTGCTAAAGTGGGGGAGTGTATATATATAGAGGGTTTTAAAAGGGGCATTTATGATGATGACCATTTCTTTGCATGATAATATGCCTACAGCTAAAATGAATGGTGCCAACTTTGAGGAGAGAGCGAAGTCTAATGACACAGTCAACATTAGTCCAATAGCTGAAAACTAAAATCGGCATCTTTTAAAGTTAGCTCCTATCTAAAATCGGCATCCTTTAAAGTTAAGTTGTGCAATATTTTATAAAATATTAATTTATTCATGAAAGTTACAATAATAATTTAGTATAATTTATTCATGTACTACTTCTTTGTTTCAAACTTTATACTTACTCATGTTGGAAATTTTATTGACCGATTGAAAACATATTTTATAACTCACCACACGATGAGAATGAGAGAGAGAGAGAGAGAGACAGAGAGGGGGGGTGTTTTGACAAAATTCATGAGTAATTAGAGTTTCACTTCTCATTCCTTTTGAGGCCTACGGGGTGTATGTGGAATGAAGAAATTACATGTACTCAAAAATCAATAAAAGAGGGATGCAAAGGCAACACATACTATTGCCACTCACAAGATTGTGGCAGACAAGTCATACTATCACAGACTGAAAGTAGAAGCCTCAGGTCGGGCGATATACAATTAAAGACTTCCAGGACACGCTACTCCAGGCCTGAGAGAATAAGGACTGAAAGGGCTCGAAGAAAAGAAGACACTCAGACTTGCGACCCCCGCAGAGTCTCCGTACTACAACGATTGGCTCCTAGAGCACATGGGAGTGTCGAGGTTGGAATTCCAAAGCCACGCCTTGCCTATGAACCAGCAGACAAAGCGTTAGCAAGGTTGCAAAGCTCACTATTCATTCCGACAATAGAGAACGCACCATTACCCTCAGGTTTCCACCAGCCCAAATTCACTACTTATGAGGGGAAGTCGGACCCCTACATATACTTGAGCCACTTTTACCAGGTTATGGCCGTGTATTGGCGAAACGAGGCTCTAATATGTATCATGTTTCGTTCCAGCCTTGGTGACCTAAGTTTAACGTGGTTTGAAAGGTTGCCAGAAGGTAGCATAGCTTCGTGGGCGCAACTAGCGGAGGCATTTGTGACCAGATTCAGAACGACACCAAGACACCAGTGGAGATTGACCAGCTTCTCTCCATAGACATGGGCGAGAAAGAAATATTGAGGTCTTACAATAACCGGTATTGAGAGAATTTTAATCAGATTGGAGATTGCCTTACAAACCTAGCTATCACACAGTACAATCGAGGTTTGCCGGCTGGCAATAAGTTGAGGAATTCAATAACAATGACGCCGCCCCTTACTATGGAAGCCCTGATGAAGAGAGTGCACCAACACATCCGGGTATAGGAAGACAGGGCGCGCACCGAGGAAGAGTCCGGCACAACAGCGATACCAGACAAAAAGCCTTTGGCGAGAGTTAACACGGTTGACAAGTAGGACCGACCGCGCAAAAGTTTTTGCCCAACTGGGGGGCAATTAAGAAGTTTGGCCGGAATAACCAAACATTTAGCACTCTTCAGTCGAGATAAGGATCTAGGCTGAAGAACGTTAGCTGGAATAACCAACATTGAGCTCCTTTCAGCCGAGATCAGTATCTAGGCTGAAGAAGGTTGGCAGGAATAACCAATATTTTTTTGCACCATTTAGCCGGGATCAGGATCTACGCTAAAAGTGGTTGGCAGGTTTAACCAACAAAACTTTTTTGCACCCTTTAGCCGAGATTAGGATCTAGGCTAAAGGCGGTTGGCAGGTTTGACCAACATTTAGCTCCCTTCAGCCAAGATAAGGATCTAGGCTGAAGAAGGTTGGCAGGAATAACCAACATTTAGCTCTCCTAAGCCGAGATAAGGATCTAGGCTGCAGGAAGTTGGCAGGTATGACCAACAAAACTTTTGCACTCTTTGGCCAGGATGACAATTACCTCGGCCAAAATAGGTTGGCAGGTTTGACCAACAAATTTTTGAACGATTAGACCGGGATGATAGTAAGCTCGGCCAATGAAGGTTGGCAGGATAAAGTAAAAGTTGGTGAATCCGGCCAGACATGCAGTTAAAATAAAGCGCTACAATGAAGGAAAAACAAGGGACCGAGCTCGTATTTTAGCTCGGTCAGATTGGGCATTTCTTAGCTCAGCTGAGGCCAAGGTACGTATCTCGACCAAGCTAGTGAGTTCGACTGGACATGTAGCCAGAATGATGCAAAACATTGAAAAAGAAGCACAGTAACCGCACCGAGGGATCGAAATTTTTCATTATTGGGAAGATGATTACAAAAAGGTGGGACATATAGCCCAGTTACACAGAAAAGAGGCCTTCTCGTACGATTGCAACCACGAAGGGTATAAAAGTTGAAGGCAAAAAGGCGGAGCTGTTCAAATTTTTGGAGGTACATAACGGTTGTAACAGGAGAACGAGGATAATGGGGGCACGTCATGTATCCTGGGAATGACGTCATACCAGATTAGTGGAAGGACGTGTTGAGCAACTGACAATGCTTGTTGGGGCCGAACGAGCTTTGAAACCAAATAACTTTTTAGCTTGGTGGAGTAGGGCATTCTTTGCTCGGCTGGGGGAAAAATAATCCTAATCATGTTATGCAGATGGAATTGGGAGGCAATTGAGAGGGTAATTTATAACGAAAAATTTGGCCGAGCCACGATCCTTTGATTTCTGTTGTGGGCCGAACTAAAAGGCCGGAGTGTGGACGTCGAGTAGCTCAGTCCCTTTTTATCTAAGTACCAAACTAGGCAAAGGCGTTGACCGAGCTACCTAATACTAGGCCCAAGGATTGGCCGAGGTGTTTGGTAAGATGGAGAACCGAGCTAGGTGTAGCTCGGTCGATGCTTCTATTCCATTACTTAGTTGAGAACAGAGCTGAAATAACTTGGTTGACCGCAATGTCAGCCGAGGTAAAGGGGTCGGCCGAGGTAAAGGTGTCAGCCGAGGTAAAGGGAGTGGCCATTTCACTTGGCTTGTAGTGATGGGGGTGTTCTAAGGGTAAGCATTATCCTTGTGCATGAGACTCCTAGTAGGACTCTACTAAGGAGAGTTAGAGTCCTACTGGGATTGCGCAAACCATCTCACTTGGTTGGTAGTGAGTAGGAGTGTGACTCCTAGGAGGACTCTGCTAAGGAGAGTAAAGTCCTACTAGGATTGTGCAAACCATCTCACTTGGTTGGTAGTGAGTAGGGTGTGTGATTCCTAGAAGGACTCTTATAAGGAGAATTGGAATCCTACTAGAATTAGGCCAAACCAAGTATATAAAAACTCATGACCAGACCTATGTACAGGTATCTCAACTCTTACTCTAGAATACACAGAGCTTATTGTCTATTGTCTAGTTGCTGACTTAGGCATCAGAGGGGTTTCCGCCACACACCCGCCGGTTAGCTCACGTTTGTGTTTTCATGTGGCAAAGCAATGTTGTTTGGAGGAGTGCAAACTTAATCAACAGGATTATACAAGAAGATTATTTCGCGCTCGTACAGTTATGATAATAACTATATTTGTGTCACATTTTATTTATCATGTGATGTGTTACTAGTATATTGATAATAGACATTTGTGGTGTGACCCATTCAATTAATCCAATTATCACATATGAAATTGTAAATAAAATGTGATATATGAATGTAGTCATTCTAATATTATTACTTAAAAATTAATCAGGATGTGTCCACAACCACAAAAACACTAATTATTTATGATAATTAGGAAAGATCACTTAATGCATTACATAAAATATCAGCAAATCAGATACATTGCAAAATCATTGAATGAAAAATGAAATGTTTATAGAATTTTTATATAAAATTCATAACAAGAATGACAAGGTAGTGGTATTTGTAAAATAATGAGGATAATGATAAATGTTTTTATTGTAAATGATGACAACAAGATGTCACATTATTTTATATGAAAATTTTGTACATACGTTTTTTTATAGTGTAATATCCTGCATTGGTGGGTTCAAATCCCTTGTCAGTGGGTCTTCGTATACATATGAAGACTACATACAGTGAAACATTTTGCTTTCGCTAACTAGTGGGTTCATGTGAGATCACTACTGTCGCCTCTGTTTCGCTAAAAATAAGTAGGATTTCGTCCTAAAAAAAATCTAGAACAAAAAATACAGAGTCAATTAATCATTTATGTACCCTCGATTGATGTCATTTTTCAAAATGAAGAATTTTTCTATTAGTTATGTGGAGAAGTATTTTGTGAATAATAGCATGTGGTTAAGGTGATACCGAAATGTCAACCAAGGTGCCACATGGCCTAATCACGGTGATCTCAGACAAGCCAAAGTTATCTGTGGAGATACCGGAATCCGAGATAAGTAGATAAGAAACAAGAGTCCTAGAATAGGGGAGGATCTCAATCTGGATAGAGATAAGGCTCAAGAAGAGTTTATCTCTATCTAGATGAGGTCCAAGATGAGCATGGAGTCTGTGTCCATTGAATTGAAGCTTCTAAAAGGATCAGGTCACTGCTGGTTATAAAAGTAAGGCATCCTCGAGGGTCGAAGGGAAGTTCTTTCATGTGAGTTTAAGCACAATTTGCTATCTTTGGGAGATATTATTTACTAACTTAATCGTCGGAGTGCCCCCGGGTGGATGAACCATCACCGGATTCTCATCTTCTCATGCAGGTTGTTGGACTTAGTCTATTCTGCCAGTACTCTCCAGTTGAGTTCCCCGTTCAGTTGTGTGGTCAAAATCAACACCTACAATTTGTCGCCGTCTGTGAGAAACGTAAGGAGAATAAATGGCTAACAACGGGCAAGAAGACAAGATTGGGGATGACATCCCTAGTAGGACTGATAAACATGCAAACCCTAACATGGGGAGGAAAGCCGTAATGAAAAAACACAGGATCCAAATCATGTGGAGAAGGACGTCGGTAAAGAGGGTAACGCCCAGAAGAAAGCTGGTCGGAATGAGTAATACAACGAAAGTGACCTCTAGGTA